GAGAGAGAGTTTTAAAGCCTGGAAATAAACTTTTGCTTGCTTTTTTTTTTTTTTAATAAAACAACAAGAAGGAATGAATGTGCTCCCAACCTTGGTGTACTACAGATCCATTTTATAAATATTTAACATTCTATAGGACTGATTCATATATTCTCACACAACTCTGTGGCAAATCTGACCCATGCTGCCGACATTCTACATATCACTGAGACAGGGAGGTGAAATTTTCCTGCTTTCAGTCTAATTGTCTTTGACAATTGCAGTGCCTAGTGCTACACTGCTTGTGTTGTATTTAAAAACAGGGGAAAGAGGAGAGACTTGTTCATTAAAGATGCAGTATCCCTGGTTCACACAAATGCATCTGGCAGGTTCAAAATCGAATGTCAACCAAAGGTCTTAGCAGAGTGTGAGCTTCAGTTCATGTGTTGGTTAGTCACAAGTACAGCTGGTTGTGAATTCTGAAATACTAATAGCTCCATGTTTGCTAATGTGCTTCACCGAAAAATTGGCAGATGATTCAACAACTGAAGACTTTACTTTTCATGAAGAAAAAAACCACATTAAAACACTGAATTGTAAAGAAGTTGCATGTATCTCTGCACATATAAAGAAAGGAAGTAATCGGTTGATTCTGAATAATGTAAAATAATGTTTGTTTTAAAGTTTAAACAGGTGGTGGTGAGAACAGCACACACACATACAAACACACACGCTAGTTATATTTATATTTATTTATATATATATATATATTAGAACTTTACTTTAGTGGCCTCAATAGTTCAACAAACTGTATCCCTTTCACTTTGCAAAATGCAGATTCAATGATTATGATGCCCAATTCTTGCTAAGAAACATGAGAGTTGAATTACAGAAGTATCTTTCTGCTTGGAGTTGGATATTTTCAGAGAAAGAGATTCTAAATGCTTCCAACCCACCAATATATTTAAATTTATAATGACCTATTGTAGGAATTAATTTGGATTTTATTTTGGATGTATTCTTTTGAAAACTGCATAGCCAAGTACTATGCAACCCATGTAAATTGACCTTGCTATTTTACATAGCATAGCCTCTGGATAGCTTTTATCACTGGCCCAGATGGTTGTTTGGCCTATGTATTTCAGTGAAATGGTTTATTTTCTCCTTGATAGGTTTCAAATGCACAAGAAAACATTATACCCGTCTATCTGCATTTGAGTAGAATACAAACTGACTAATAGATAAACATTCTGTGTGAAAGTAAATAGCCTTAAAGTATACTGCCTTCACATTCCATTGATCAGCTCAGTCAGCAAAGTTTTCCATATTGTCACTAATGATCTAAATATTTTGGAGAGCAGCTTGCCAGAAGTGTAGAGTATTTCCATTTGTGTCACATATCGGGTCATTATAAACTACCTCTTGAATTTCTATTGATCCTTCTACTGAAGTAGTTTCTTTCACTTCCTTTTCGTCCTCCTTGAAATGTTATTACAGTTGTGAAGAGGAGAATGCGGTGTTGTTAAACAGACTGGTTGAATCTCCTGGCCAGACGGCCAAGGGATTTGGACTGATTTATTACCTTACCTTTATTAGGAGTCTTCTCAAATTCTGAGCAGTTGAAAAGAGCCAAGAGGATGAAGCCTGATTACTCAGTTGTACTGTCCCTGATTGTACACACTCACTTCTGAGGATGTGATATCCATCCCTACCTCAAGCCCCAAAACAGATGGTCAGAAAAGAGCTCTTTACCAGGCTAGTCCACAGATGAGCTCATAATGCTGCCATGTAGAAACAAAGAACCATAGGAGAGCACTATCTGCTCAAACATGAGCCTCAACTCTTCCAACAGATCTTCATTTCTTCAACTTGCCTCATTTCCTAAGAGATTAAATTCTAGAAGTCCTGAGCCTAAATGAAAACCACACACAACTTCGGCTTCTGCTAAGTACATGGATTTTTTGACCACTTATATCTCAAACTAATTTTTAGGTCATTTAAAGCTAAAGGCAGTATGTACGACTTCAATTTATTGTCAGTTTTATAAATGTGTGTGAAAAACAACAATACAGTCATATATTTGGCATTAAGTTGCATGAGCCACCAAAAATGTGGGTTGATATTGGATTTTCCGAAGTTGTCTAAGTAAGACTGGGTTTCTGAAACTTGCCAGATGCTTTCAGGTGAACACAGCATGTTGGCGGAAATGAGATGTAATGTGTAAAAGACAGAAAATAGATCAGCACTGTGCAAAAGTAAACTTGTCAGTGAGATCAGTATGAATCTACAAGTTAATGTGAATATTAGAATTTCCTTATAACGAGGGATGCACATAGACCCAGAACAGGCCTGTAGCATTTATTGACTTGTGAAAAACAGAGGACGTACTTAAGTATTATTTTTTGTATCCTTAATGAAAGGCACTGCTTTTTCATATGGGATATTCATATTTAACCACAGTTTTAATTGATAGAATATCATAGTAAATTAAATTCTGGTACATTTGCTCATTTTTTTTTATCAACATGAAAAAAAGGGCCACAATGATCATGCATCATAAAATTCAGAAATATCATGAAGTCCCTCATTAACTTTCTCCATGTGAAGTATTTCAGAGAATTTGACATAGTAGATGAGCTCAGTAAAAAATTTCTTGAGAAAAAAAAAAACAGAAAGACCTTTCTTGGGGCTTCTCATTACATTTATTTAAATTTTTAAAAAATGTACATCATTTATTTGAATACATAAAATGCCAGTGCTTTGCAATAGTTTTGTTACTGCATCCCTAAACTAAAAAAGGAAAAAAAACCCAGAAAAAATACATTCAAAATGCTAGGCTGTTCTGCTTATGCACAGGCAGTGGCTCTGGAAAGCTACAGCCCGCACTGTGACTGTTCAGAGGCATTGGAGAACATCAGCCAGCTTTCAATGAGGATTTGCACATAAAGCATTAAAGGATACAAAGAACAACTTGGTGGGAAGCAGGAGAGGAATGGGAAAGTCAGAAAAATGCCACATATGCCATGGGAGGGGGGTGGTGGACTGAGGTGGAAGTCAGCATAAAGACTGATGTTTGGGGAAACTGGATTTCTGCGGAAAGATGGAAGAGAACAAAGTGATATGTTTGGCAAAGCTATATGTGGTGTTTTGTGTCTTCCCATTTTCTATTTTATTTTCTAATAGAAACAAAACAAAACTGAGGTAGAAATGAATGCAGGAACACTACAGCCCAGATTTCAAAATGAGAAGCAAAATTGCACTGACAAGAGTGGAGTCAAAAAGGGGCGGGGACATAAAGGTTCTCTGAATGATTGTTTTATTTGTGTGTGTGTGTGTGTGTGTCTGTGTGTGTGTGTGTATGTTTTGGTTGCTATCCTCTGCAATCTATCAAACAGCACGGCAAGCCTATAAACTAGATTAGTGAATAGAATGACACCATTCCCAGCAGTTTAAGATATATCTTTCGAACTACTACCACCACCACCACTACCACCTATGCAGTAAAATGCAGTCATAGTTTTTAGGTACTGTGACTTGACTTTCAGGGTCCTAACCAGGTCTGTGGCCGACTGTTCTACACTTCATCTTAGCCAAAAGGCCAAGAAGCGATGGCTGACTGTTCTAGACACTAACACAAACTGAATAAGTAGCTTTCCATTAACCAGTGTACCTTTTCAGAACATTTTCACTTAGTTATCAAGGAGCAATGTACTAAGAACTCTTGCAGTTACTGACAAAGAATTATTCTGCTCTGGTTAATTCCTCATAATTAGTAAAAGAATTTTTAAAAAATCCTTCCATTTCTACTTTAAATTGTAAATATTCAGTTGTATCACATTTCAGTATTTTTTCTGGATACATTCAAAGAAATTTTCCTTGCTATTTTCCAATTGTTGAGGTAAACATACATTTTAATATAAAGTAACATTGAAGCCTAACCTATTACTCTCAGCAGTACATAGTGCTTTCAACACATTCCTTTGAGGTACTGTACAAATCACAATCACTTTCCTGAGTTTTTGCAGACAAGAACATTAAAAGAAATGAACTGCAGAAATTAAGGTCCAGATTACCGTTACCCTGTTTTACCTGTTCTTAGCTTAATACTGCAGAACAGACAGGATTGAGGAATACTGTTGCTCTTAAAATGGCAAAAATCTGGTTTTCTGTCGTAACACAACCGTTCATCTCTTTAGTCCAATAATATTTGAAGTTAAAGCTCTTTATATTAGCACATGCCACCAATGTAATTGTGAGGCAAACAAAAAATAAAGCACCACTCCAGGCACTTAACAGCAACTAAATCTCGAGAACAGCAGAATGGAATCAACACACGAGGTTCATGTCCTTCTGAAATCAACACACGTGCACCTTGCTCCTTGGTGAGTGTTGTCTAGCTGAGCATCCACATATGCTTTCTGTCATCTGGGGCTTTCCAATCAGAAACTCTCATTTGATGCATTTTTCCTCCAAATCCACCCTGACTCTGAAGATGCAACTTAATCGTCGTTTTCCCCAGTACCCTTTGCAATTGAAACACTACTGGAAAGGGGCTCTATTCCCTATGTAGCAGGTTGTATGTGTGTGCCAACATTCATTACATTTTTTAAGACGTTATCACTGACTGCAACCAAACATTTTGTTCCATTCAACATACATATCAAGCTCTTTTTGAGATATGCTAGGCTGAATCTTGCAGAAAGCATTTTCAAAGTCTTGATATGTAATGGGCCTCAACTGGCTGGGCATAATGGCTGAAAGGTCTGTGGCTGGCATGGCATGGAGGGGGCCCACCGCTGCTTCCTGACACAAATGAGCCACGTCTAGTCCAGAAAAGCCTTCTGTGCGCTGGACGAGCAGTGCAAACTCCTTGTCATTGAGACAGTAATTGTGCTGTGAGAGCAGTTGTACTATTATCTGGTGCCTCGCTGTGCTGTCAGGAAGTGGGATTAAAAGTCGTTTCATGAAGTACCTCCGAAGAGATTCATCTATTTCTTCTGGTTTACTGGTGGCACAAATTACTACGATTTGGTCCTCAGCTGAAGTTAGTACAGTGTCCAGCTGCATCAGAAATTCGGTTCTCATCCGACTGACTGGACTGTGTTCCTCACTCACTTGAGCGGAGAGAAGCATGTCAATGTCACTAACAAAAATCACTGAGGGCTGGCGACACCTGGCCACAAGAAATGAGGCATGGATAATTTTCTCTGCTTCTCCTAACCACTTGGCAACTAGTCCAGAACCAGCAATTTTGAAAAATGTGGCCCCCAGCTGACTAGCTATGCACCTGCCCAATAATGTTTTGCCTGTTCCCCGAGGTCCAAATAAAAGGATGCTCCGAGGTAAGGCCGTCAGTCCACTGAACGCATCTGACCTCAGCACTGGCCATAGGACTTCCTCCTTAATGACAGCCTTCACCAGGTCGAGACCAGCAATGTCATTCCAGTCCACTGGAGGTCCTTGGGTGATAATCTCATTGGTTACCAGGTCAATGAGGTGCGTGTCAGTATTCTTCAGTTGTTCCTCCACAGAGTGGTTGGATGAGGTAGCTGCACGGAGTCCAGGGCCTTGCATTGTGTGAGAGAGGAGCTGCCTGTGCTCCTCTCCATGCTCACTCATTACTGGTGATGTGTACTTCCCAAAGGACTCACTGGATCTTGATCCCAGTGAATTTTTAGCAGTACTGTAGGAAGGAGGGGTCAGAGCCCTATTGGACTGGCTGCTGAATTTCCTTTGCTGTTCAGAGGACATTAGCTGCTTCGTTGGCTTAAATGCTAAGGATGATGTTTCAGCACTTCTGTCAAAGCCATTTCCCCGATTTGTGTTTGAAATGCTGTTGTCGGGCATCCTGTACATAGGACTCTGTGTAGATCTCTGTTGGCCATAGCTATAATTTCCATAACTGGAGTCCATATCTCCTTGCCCTGCCATATAGAAAGCTTTCCTTTTGAGAGAACTTGCAGAACTGTTTGTCAGAGCTGAGGGTGCAATAGGTGTTAAACCA